AAACTGTGTGGCTCCAACAGAAAATGGCAAACTGATTGTATCGTGTAATCTCAGATGCTAAAATTACTGGCTCTGTGCTAAATGCTCATATCAATGTGCTAACAACTATCATGCTAGCATGTTTTAATGCTAAATACCGCTTACATCAGTTTTTTGGCTATAAAGGTCTTTATATACTGTATATACGTAAAATCTGTGCAAATATTTCCTGCTTTAAAAAGAATTTTTGGAATCTTCTTATTGCAGCTATTCATATTTCATATTTTTCAGATAAACAGATCAGCCTAATCAAGCCAATGCATTTGGCAACAAGTGTGTTGGCACAGTGGCAAAACTGGCACTGGTAAAAATACGAATAGTAAAATAATACTATTTTACCGAGTACACATGGATAATGCTGCTCCACGTCTGAAATAATTTGTCATTTGTGGCCACAGCTCTGACAACAAGAGCTCAAACTGCCGCAATGACATCCTGTAATAAGTGCAAAAGCAGTCATCATACAACTTCAACTCCTGGATCAAACCATGAAATTCTCTGTAGAATCAGATGAACTCAGAATCTCAGTTTTTTCCTCTTCTTGTTTCAGGACCAGCTCATCATTGCTTGATGTTGACTATTTTTTACAGTGCATTTTTAAAGGACAAATTTACTGCAGAAATGCAACGCACTGTGTTGTACATGTTATACGACAAGTTCAGATTGGAAAAATTCTAAACTTTGCTTTGTTTTTTTTGCAGTGTTCTGTGTGTAATGGCCTGTAAATCTATAGAATAAAAATCTATGTGTGAATATAAATCACACATAGAGACAAAAAATTGATTCTCTTCTATATAATGCTTGTGTAAGAGTTAATCCCATTACCAGTCACTTGCTTCCGCACTGTTCAGATTACATTTCTTTTGTTTACATGGGTTAGCATTTCTCCTGCAGCAGTGTCCTTACATAAGAAATATGGCAACATGATCATTTTTGGTGTGGCAATTTAAATGCAGCAGGTGAGTATCAGTATTTTTTGCCCCATTGTCAGTCACCCTACCGCCATCATCGACTGACAGTCAGCAGGCCTCCATTGCACTGCCAGATCTACTGAGAAAACTTATGTAATTGTCATGTCATCAGAATTATATAATTACCTAATTTAATCCTGATGCACTCACAGAACACTATTATGGTGTCATGGTGTCTTTCCCCCCTATTGCCACTAAAGTTCAAGGATTTATAAAAGGCTAATTTATAATTGAATTGCTGAATTTTGTGGCATTCCCCGTCTTCTTATGTGACAGCAATATATCACAGACTTTCTACGAGGTTTACATATACTTGCCATTAGTTATATTATTGCAAAATCCAACTGTACAAAATGGAGCAGGCAAGTCAGACACATCTTTGGAAACTCCTAGGATTGAGGTGGGGTGCATGCCCTATATTAGATTTGCCAAAATGATGCATAGAAGGATGTAAGCTGAACCATGAGCTGATGTGAGGTGGCATTTAGATCAGCTGATCTATAAGGAAAAATAAGTGGCTTGCTTGAGCTAAACTAGCGTTTGATGTGACTGTAACAGAGATGTTTTAGATGTTAGATGACCAGAAACAATAAGCCAAAACAAGTGACACAGATCAGCTCAAATCAAACTGCTACAACTCATGATTCAAGGTTAACCCAGTGAAAACAAAGAGACCGGAGTCATTTAATCAGGCAAACGCACACATGTCACTGTCTTGGATTTTCACAATTTGTTTTCACAATAAAGAGGAAACTCCTCTGTAATTCCCCCTCTTTTTTTAAAATCTGATTTACGGCATTAATCTTGTTGCTGCCTAATGACCTCACCAGGACACTTAGGACGTTAATTCAGGGCAAATACACTGTTACAGCTATTTATAAAGCGACAAGCTGCGGATGTGGCCCACATAAGATGAGGCTCGGATAGTTTTTCTGATATAATTCCCTCCTAGATGTGACCAACTTTCCAGACTAGAGACAGTCTTCCTCTTGAGCAATAAATATGACTGTGTTTTTAATACATTTTAAAATTATGACCATAAACTTTAAGCAAGTGATGGCCATTGAGATAATCCAGGGACATTTCTGCCTTTACAGACTTGACAGGAGGTCATATCTTAATGTGTTATTTATGTTCAGGTCTGAAACATGGAGTATGTCAGAGGGTTTTTTTGTTCAAATTGCTGCAACTGCTACCATATTTAACATGAACCCGTAAGCTATACTGTATGTTCTTTCGCGTGTTGGTTGACTCTGCTGGTTAATTGTTTATGTTTACATTCACTCTTCTAATCTGAAGGTCAAATTGATCAGTCTATTGCTAATAAGCCAGTTCAAGGGAATTCGCCAGAGAGACGTCATCAGAAGCATTGACAGGAGCTCTCAGGCCGGCGCTGGCTGTCGATTTCTTGCAAATAGGGCACGCAGCATGGACTAAACAGTCACCATCCACCATCCGCATCCAGTGAAATTTCTTTGTGATCGTAGCAAAAGTTTAGAGGTGATACTGGTGAAATTAAGAAGATATTTTTAGAAGGAAGCTACAAATATGGACTCAGCTTTATAGGATTTTACATTTTACAGCTAATAAGAATTAAAATGAATTTTTTGCCTTTCTTTGACAGCAAGATTGATTTTTACAGAAAATTGTAATTGTTGAACTAAAATTAATTTGCTATGAAGGAAAAAGGGATAGCCCTAAATTTTATTCCAAACTCCAGCTTTGTGGCATTTTGATTGGCTAATGTGGAAAAAGCCCAGAGGCTTGGGACACTTCCTATGCAGAAACAAATCAAATCGGCCCACTGCCTCCCAGCGGATGTGCGAGATCAATCTGTTGCATTCAGCATGGATGAGACTAGGATCAGTCTGTGCTGTGGATGGAAAATAGCTAAATTTGCAGATAGCCGTGTCAACCTGCAAAACAGAAGTTCAGCTATTATTCAGCTACATTGATCAGATCTGTAGCTTAATAGTATTTTGTGCATGTAAATGCGGAATTAGAGGCATTGCATGGTGCATATCCTCTCTGCATATTGCATCTAGAATATTGGCTTGTTACGCAATTTGTTTTACTGAGCAGCACATATATCATTTCAACTGAAGCATCTAAGAGAATATGAGAGCATTTCCATTCAAAATAAATTCTTAGCAAAGGATTTGAGTAACAGAGCTACCCATTCTGATATTATATCAACACTTTCCCTTGAGACATTGTACACCGCAGAATTTATTTCCCACAGTTTACGGAAAAAGGCAGAGAAAAGTGAAGTCGAAATTCTTTCCATTGTGTCATTAAAAATTATATCCAGTTAAGCCACCTGCCACTGTGGGCTTTCACAGAAGTGGAGTGGATCAGTTTGTTGAAATACAGAAATTGATGGTGTTAGCTTTGACAGCTGGAAATTTGGGTCACAGCACCACACAGCTCTTTATAAAGTTTTGCTGGGAAAGCGACAGGATGGATAGTTAGTCAGATCACAAGATCATGCGGACACATTATCTCCATGACGCGGAGTTTACAATTAATGCATCAACTTCACAATGATTTCATTTTATTAATTTTTTTATTGAAAAAAGGACAAACTGTTTTCAACAACTGCAATATCAGAATACAGTATTTGCATTATAATTTACAAAAGATTAAAAAAAAATCTGTTCAGTCTGTGGTTTGTGCAGGAAGGTGGGAAGACCCTGGTAGAAAAATAAAAATCTAAGACAGGAGAAGTGCCCATGTGAGATTTCCTTACCAAAAAAAACATTACAGTGTTCTGGCATCCACTGACATTATCCACGCTCGAATGTGTCATAATAACTCCTAGAGTAATAGGTAAAGCTTAATGTTACGTAAGACTGAAGTCAAGTCCTCTCCATCCGGCCAGGATTTCTGATTGTAAGTGAATTATTAGTCCTGATCTTTCATAAGACAAAGCAGGGGTCCATTCAGAAATGACAAATAACTTCACAAGACCCACTAGAAGCTAGAAGGTTAAAAAGGAGGTGTCCAAATTCTGCAAATCTCCCAAGTTGCCAAGAACACTGATGTTAAAATAACATGTTAAAAAGCTATTCAAATAATTCAGTGTTTCAAAAGCCAAGCTCTGTTAGATGAGGATCAGTTCAAGTTTCCAATTAACTAACAGATGTGTTGCAGTTGCCTCTTATTAATATGTGCACATCTGGCTTTTAGGGAAATAACCTAGTTTCTGCTCTTACTGGGAGGAAAAATCTCAAGTGAGGAAGAAAGTGCACTAAAGCTTTGGAAAACACACCGACAAGAGTCATGCTTGTCTATAGCTAGAAATAAAACTATAGGCTGCATCGGCAAACTTCAAAACGCTTTAAAACACAAATAATACATTTTGGCTTCTAGATTTCTGTCTGACATACAATATGTAACTTAGCAGCAGCTGTCATCAACATTCATAGCCTTGGCTAAAGGTTGAGCTTCCTGTCACTTTCCACCACTGAACAGTATTGCACATTACAACACAGAGACCTGTAAGAAGTGGCAGTATATTGCACAATGAATCACATCTTAATGCTACTTCTTCTGCTTTACATCTAATGCATTGTGTGCGTAGTCGAAGCCAAACCACCTGAGTGCCTCTACTGGGACTAAGACTTCTGTTAAGGCACACATTGCAAGAGATGCTCTATAGACAAGATGATAGGTTGAGGACAGCAGTGTACTTATGCCCGTAATCTGTGCAAGACATAATTTTCCTCAATCGAGCTTTCAGACCAACACATTGAAGAATACTGCAAATAAACTTCGCTAAGAGACCAGCTCATTAACAAATGATACCTTGTTTACTTAATGGTGGTTGAAATTGTAAAAATGTTATAGCCTGTTAAACAAAAATGTTGTCATTAAATGTATGATTAGAAATTTATAGGTTTGGGTTGTTGCTGCAAAGAATGATGAAAACATGTGATTCAAATAATTCCTTGTTTTTTATATATGTATAAAATTACATATTACATTACATATATAAAATTAGTCTAGCTAATCACACCTTGTGACATTTATTCCACAAGGATGAGGTATTACACCATAGATGAACCACATCGAAAAGTGCAAACTACGAATATGCAATTAATTATATAGGCAAATTTAGTCATTAAATGAACTGACTATTCTAGTCAAATGTTTTACTGTGGAAAATATTCTGCATTGTGCACGGAAACAAACTGCACAGTGTGTATTAGCGAAGGCATCTATCCCATTTTATTCCTCTGGCACCATGCAACCACTCAATCTCTCACCACTTTCACCATACACAACACATTTGTCTGTACGTGTTGTTTCATGTGAGAGCTTCTGCATACTGAGAAGTTCATACTCAAATTGCAGGGTTTATTTGCCCTGTATTTTCATACACAGCAATCGAGACCCAAGTCATACGAAGCTTCACGTACCCTGTGACAGTTTTTAACTTGGGTTCATATTTCTGATTCTGCTGTCAAAGGCCTTGACTCTAAAGGCAAAGAGTCAAGATTGCATTCAGAGTCTAACACCTCATCTGTGTTTCTGTCCTCAAGTGCGCAAACCTCAACACCCCTCATTACCATGTTTTCTTCCTCCTCAAACTCCTCCTCCATTTCAACTTTTTCAAGAGCCACTTCATTCTCATAACAAAAGGAGTTCCTCGAGCTAGAGGCAGTGGACTTCTTCTCAGCCAGTTCCCTGGCACTACAGCTGGGCGTGCTGGGCACCTCATAGGTGTTGTCAAAGCGAGAATAGTCTACTTTATAGTAGTTCTTTTCTTCAAAGAGCACTGGCTCAAAGCGGTGGCCCCAGAGGATCTCGCTGGCAATATAGGAGCTCCGACACTGAGTAGTCATGGCTGTGGCCTCGACCATGCCCTCGAGGATCACCACAATCTCAAACTCTGACGTTTCCAACTCCTGCTTGCTCAGCTCATAAAATGGGCTGTCCTCATCAATTTCATGAACAATGGTAATTGGAGAAACCAAGAAAATTCTGTCAATGCCACTGTCAAAGCCTACGTCAATGTCTACCTGATCCAGAGGGATGAACTCTCCCTCGGCAGTGGTACGGGACTTGAGGAGTTGGGCCCTTACGTGGGCCTCCACCAGGTGACTCTTCCTCAGGTTTCCCACCCGCCACATCAGGCAAAGCTTGCCGTCCCTCATGGCCACTGTAGCATAGTGACTGAACACCAACGTCTCATTCCTCTTTTTGGGCTTTGCCATCTTGGCCATGACGGCACCGATGATAAAAGCATCAATGATGCAGCCTACGATGCTTTGGAAGACGACCATAAAAACAGCAACAGGGCATTCCTCCGTCACATAGCGATAACCGTAACCAATTGTGGTTTGTGTCTCCACTGAGAACAAAAAAGCAGCAGTAAAACTGTCCACGTTGGAAACACACATCTGAGTCTCATTCTCCAAGTCCCCATAAGAGAGAGCCACCAACCAAAAGACAAAGCCAAAAAACAGCCATGACAGCAGGAAAGAAAGGCAGAATATGACCAGCATCCAGCGCCAGCGAATGTCCACGCAGGTGGTAAAGATATCTGCCAGGTAACGCTGGCCTTTCTCGCTCATATTGATAAACTGCACATTGCAGTGACCATCCTTCCTGACGAAGCGGCTCTGATGTTGGTGCTGCGTATGCCCCTTGTTGACGTTGCCATTGCCGTAGCCATTGGGCATGGCAATATTCGCTAGCTTCATGCCATCTTCCTCAGAGGACACAATGCTGTAACGGTGGCCTCTCACACTCCCCATAGTTTCCTCTTGGGAGGGCTGGGCCGATTCCGCTTTGGAAAACAGTTTTTGGTAGAAGCGTTGGAGAAACAGTTTTAAATGATCTTGAGGACAAACTTGTGCAGAAAATGTGGGAAACAGGACTCAGTCCTGTGAGGGACGGGGGAGACTAGGTCTGTGCTTCTCTACCAGTGATGAGCACTGTTGGTGAGGGCTGGTCACTCTTCTTTGATGCCTGGCTTGGACCTCATTAGTAAAGTGGGCTGTGGAAATTATAGACAGAGAGACAACATAGATCAGCACAGCTAGGCGTGTGGTAGCTGTTAAATAAATAATGCAGTGCACATCCAAAGTTAATAGCACAATTCTAGTATACTCTCAGAAAATGCATAAACAGTGTGTCCTGAGCAGTCAGAAAGCACAGTCAACAGATTAGGTAAATTAGCAGTAATAGAAGGAAAGTATTAGACACCTGGCAAAGTAGGAAAGGATGTTTACACTGCTTACTATAAGTATTAATTAGGGCGGGCCCTTCCTTGGGGAACGGAGTCAAATTATAGATCAAGTTCATGTTAATCTAGTAAAGCTCTTAAAGAAAAATACAGTACAAGCTGCAGCTCTGGACAGACATAACAAAATCATATGTTGCATGCATGTAAAAACCTATAGCACATTCACAAGCTATTACATGTCATTACTGAGCAAATACAGAGTTGCCCTGAACCACAATTAATGAACCAGTAGCCTTGCTTTATATGTAATAGAAAAACAAGGACAGCTAAATTAGAAAAGCTATTGACTTGATGTGTGTGGCATGAGAGGTCCATTAAAATACAACACCACAGGCTACAAAAGGTTATGGACAGCCAGACACGCTCTGGTGGTGCCAAAATAAATCCCCGCTCCACTTTTAAAACTCATTATCTCATCAGAGTTTCACATCTGAAGTGCATAAATGAAGTCCAGAGCCCTTTTCAGTGAATATTCTGATTGTTCTTAACATTGAAATTGTAGCCCGTTAAAGAAAAAAACAACAACAACAAAGCTCTTCGATAGTCATTCAAGTCATTTAAATTGTTTTGGATATTGTCAAGGGTCACATGGGATACGATTTGCTGGACGTGGTTTCCCTGCATCATCTCTGTTTTCTCAACTTATTATGATGTCATTGTGGGATCAACTTGAAACAGCAACAAGCCACTCATAATATGAGGCAATATGTCTGTGAAGGTTCTCAGTCATAATATGAATAATATGAGGCACCATTTACACAGAGCAAAGCATGCCAAAACATTTTGTTTAATAGGTTTCAGCGTTTAAATGTATTTTACTTGGTATTTTCAGGAAATTTAAACCATGCTTGTTCCACGTTTAAAATGTTTTATCTTGTTTTGTTTTCTCCCATACACTTGCAAGGAGTCTTATAAAAGCAATTATACTGGTGTATTGTGGGACACAAACTCAAACACTTGGATGGAGTCTCCAGCTTTGCAAGTCCAGATAAACCTGGACTGAGTGCATTGCAAGCTTCCTTCCTTATTGCACTATTCACTACTTTCCCGCTCAGTTAGCTTTTATCTGCTCAGTATCACATCACTTATTACAGCAGGTTGTTTCATGGTGACAGAAAAGGCTTCCAAAGGCTGCACAACCTGGGATTGTTTGTTTTGCATGTGTTCTCATTTAGAGCTAACAGCTGAGGCAGATGGAAACTGGTTACATAAAGGTGGTCTATTTTTCAT